CCCCCCCCCCTCTTGGTAGCCTTGGGACATTAACTTAGGTTTAACAACCTATTCATTAGACTCAACAAGTGGATTTATGGTTGAATTTGTATTGAAGCGTTTAAGATAAGTAATATTATTAGATTTAGTAAAATATATGAGGGTTTATTGGAAGGATTTTAGGATTGAGGGATTTTTTAAATTTCTATTTCAAATAGTAGATGAGAGGTGGAATAGGGGTTCCTTGATTGAGTTATTTTGAGTGGTTCATTTGTATTAAGATAGCATTAAGTTGGGGTATATGATATGTATAAATTTGTGTGTGTGTGTGCGTGCGCGCGCGTGCGCGTGTGCATAATTATCTTAACTTTTTAGTGTGTAGAGTTGAATGAATACTAAATGGTTAAGTTTGAGTAGATTTTGTGAAGATTTGATATTTTATGAATAAATTATATCAAGAGTGTGAGAGCTAAGAAGACATCACAAATTAAGTCAGTATAGAGTAATGTGGAGAAGAGGTTAGCACCAAGGAACTAAAACAGAGTACAAAATGATAAAGATGGATAACATCTCATCAAAGAGGGAGCTTCTAGATCTCCTAAATGAGGACAAAGGAATGTATGCTAAGTTTTTCCATGGAGAGGAGAAAAAAATACTTCTCTCATATAATTTAAATTTCATTCTAATGCTTCTTCTATTTTAGATATATTATGATATTTAAAAGCATTACTCATAAGGAGAAGACAATGAACCCAACTGGTGGTTACATTATAATAAATATATTTCAAAATTTTAGGCTTCATAATTCCATCTTCCAAATTCAAAGCATTTAATTCTATTGATTATAGTTATTGAAAGAAGGAATAATCCTCAAGATTTTTTAAATGATGATTAGTCATACTTTCTTTGACTTGGACTATAATGACTTGACAAAATATATTGGTAATAGTAACATGGAATAGTGGACCCTACTTGGACTAAAATGTAAGGTCATATATAACTATAACATTTTAATATAAATTACATGTAAAAATAGCATTAAATAAGTAAAAAATGGAAGTTTTGAACAAAAATAACCTTTAATATTTATGTTAAAACCTTCCTAAATCAAAACTCAAATTTGCTCTTTCAGAATCTTTGTAAGGAATGAATGATAGAAGAAAGACAGTTTAATAAAGATGGGAGATCAATGATAGAAGATCATGAATTCTTCTTACAATTAACCTCTTTCACAATAAATAGTATATAACTAAATAATTTGGTAGAGTTAGAGATGAAGAAAACAATAGTGGAGGGAGTTCTATGAGTATCCCACATTAGCATTTGCGCCAAAAAGATCCTATTTTCAAAGAGCTTACTCATTTCATCTATGTGAAATAAATTGATCTAACAAGGATAAAGCCCTCACCTAGGTGGTATGCCAACTCACAATTATACTTGCCAATTAGTCATCTTTGTCATTGTCTCTAATGTTGTCAACTTAATGATCCCCCATTTAATTAGTTACCCTTTAAGCTTGATGGTCTACATTAGATCCCCAAAATATGTAAGTGCTAGTTTCTTTTAGAATAATTGGAGTACACATTAGATAGAACAAATTCAAATGGAAGTTGATGGGCTGAGCTGCATTCTATTAAGGGAAAAAGGGGAAATAGTTCAAATAAAGAGAGTAAGAGACAAAGTAAAAATATTAATTCAAATAAATAAAGAGTAATTAAGAGACATAATAGTAACATCACCACAAAACACATAGGATTTAAGTAGTTCAATCTTATAGCTTACATCGAATAAGCATGAAGAATATTCTATTATAATCAAGAAGAGTATCATATTCTAATCTTCGATCTCCAACTGAGGAAAAGGAATATGATGTAGAAAAAAAAAAGAGATTTTAAGAGTAAGAGTTCAATGTTTTGATGAAATAATGAACCCTTATAAAAGCCTACAAATGTTATGTTTACAAGTGTACTTAAACTAGCATCTTTTACTTGGCGATATTTGAGCATGTCACTAGAAACTAATTTATTTAGGGCATAGGTGACAGACACGAAAGGAAGACAATAAGTGTCATGCATAAAAGTATTATATGCTAATAGGGTTGATAAAAGGTGCTTATGTTTGTTTGGTAATGGGATTTATTTATGAATATCTAATGAGACAAAAAAGTTATATTGGGCATAAGGCAATATTAGTGTGTTATATGATGTGGATCATGTTTATAAATGGACATAATATTGTACTAAATGAATTGATTAGAAGGAAGGCACAAAAAGATAAGAGCTTATCAGTTGCTAAATTGATCGATATGGTCGGATTGATAAGTTGAAGTCAAGTCAACAAAGAAGGAGAAAAAAAGATGGAGGTGAGTGCATTGATGAAATGTGTCAACAGACAAGAGCTTAGAAAATGATCACTTAAACATGCAGGAAATCAGGATCCAACTAACCCTAGGGGACCCATATTTCTAGCCTTAAAATTACCTCGCAATATCAAATTTAAAAAATAAAAAACAATTGAAACGTTCTTCAAGTGCCGGCCATTTTACCAATGGCCGGCAATTACTTGATATCATTTATAAATCCCTCTTCAACTCATTATAAATAAATACATCACCGCATTCCCTTCAAGTCAAAAAACTCATCACCATTTCAACCAACTAAACTCCTTCAAAAGAGAGATGAGGCAAGCAGGAATCTACTCCGGAATTCTCTGTGGAAAGAACGGCCCTCACTCTCTTCCCCTATCAAGAATAAAGAAGATAATGAAACAGTCAGGTGAGGATGTGAAGATGATTTCCTGTGAAGCTCCACTTGTTTTCGCCAAAGCCTGCGAGCTCTTCATCGAAGAGCTGACGGCAAGAGCCTATAAGGTTACCATGCAGGGAAAGAGGAGGACTCTTCAGAGGGAGGATATCGCTGCCGCCGTCACCGCCACCGACCTTTTCGACTTTCTGCTTGAGATGGTTTCCGCTTCCGTCATCAACGACGGAAGGACGACCACAGAGAGCACTTAGCTTGAGAGAAATTTTTATCCGCGGGCTACGTGCGAAACATCGCAGTATCTTAATTAATCCCTGCATATATAATAATTTCTCTTAGATCGGACAATCATGGACGCAAATGTCACCTGCTGTGCCACAGCGTGCAACAATCGCAGCTGCTTCGTTCTCTAACGTACAGTCGTCGCAGCTTATTTTCAGATGTTTGAAGTTACGTATTCATCTATGTCTTGCTGTATATGCTGCGTACAGATCGTTTTATAATCATCTTGTACGTATCATATATAAGAAAATATAGAACAATACAGAACTTTCTGCAACAAAATTTATTTATGTACTGAACCCACGGTATAATCTCTGCTGCCAAATATGTATTTGCAAAGGATAATACTGTATTAGAATGCAGCTGGCGCAAGTTTGTGATTTTTTACAGAATTGTATCAGAGTTAAACTTTATTATTATTGTTGTCGTCTCGTGAAAGTAATTTAGGTTTGGTTTGGAAAAAACCTTTTTATTGTTTTCAAAAATAATTTTTTACCACAAAAATTTTTTAAACTAAAAAAGTTTGTATCAAAAAGCTGCTTTAGAAAGTAGCAAAAGAAAGCTGTTCCAAAAAAAAATCTTAGACTTAGTTTGGGACAACTTTTTTGCTGCTGCTTTCTTAAATACTGCTTTGAGAAGCAATAGCAAAGCTGTCCCAAACGAAGCCGTAGGTGTCATTTCGGTGACTTTCTAGCTAATTCTTAAAGTAACCTTTTTAGTAAAAAAAAAACTAAAAAACTACTTTTAGAAGCAGTAAGAAAGCAATCCCAAATGAAGTCTTAGGCTTTGTTTGGGACGGCTTTTTTATTGTTTCTTAAAGTAGTTTTTTAGTATTAAAATTTTAATTTTTTATCTAAAAAATAGCTTTGAGAAGTTGTAAGAAAGCCATCCCAAACGAAGACTTAGCCTTTGAAGTTTATATCTTTTGAGTAGCTGTAATCCTTTCGAACAAATGCAGAATGAAAATTAAGTGAAAAAACCAAAATTATGTTCTAATTATTGGATTAATAATATTGGATCAATGGATTAAAGATAAGATGATTGATACAAGTTTGGATGATCCTCACACTCTGTCAATGAGGCAACAATTCTATTACTTAGATCTCATGCAGATTGATTGAGTTTAGATTTGTGCTAATTCATCTATTGTCATTAAGAGTATCTTTTGTCTGGCACAGATTTGAAAAATAAAGTTCTTAAATTTAGGCCCTGATATTTATTAGAGGATTCAACTAGTTTTTTTTGCCAAAGGGTGTAGGGGCTTATGAATCATGAGGATTGTATGATTATCTCTACATGACATGAAGGAGCTTATAAATTCACTTAAGCGGTAAGGTTAGGACGATTGAAATTACTCGTAGAACTCTCGGTGGCTACATATGAACAAACCTCTAACTTTGCTCATGGGAGCTTTCGGTGAATAACTCTAAGCTCCCTTAGTAAGCACCCCTAGCAGTGCCTCTTCATGTCTCCAGCTAGCTAGCTAGTCCCCTCAGGTGGACTTGAAGAGTCCCTCAGAGCAAAGAACTTTTATTACGTCCTCTGACCGGACGTAGATCTACGTTCGGTCAAAGGATTGCTACTCGATTTTTGCTCGGTATTTGGTCGGCATTGCTAGGTATTGTTTGATAATAACGATGAATACCACTATGGAAAGACCAATACCGAGAAATTAATACCAAAAAATACCGAGTTTTTTCTAAAATACCGAGTTTTTTCTAGAAAAAACTCGGTATTTTTTGGTATTAATTACTCGGTATTGCTCGGTATTACTCGGTATTTTGTCTTCACATAATGATATTTCTCGTTATTATTGATATTGCTCGGTATTTCTGGTCTTGTGCCTACGATCTTAGTACCGGCCGAACGTAACTCTACGTACATTCATCGGACCAAAAAAAAGTTCCAGAGCAAGACACCAACTTGGTAGGTGCAGTCGCCATGCTACACGATATGAATGAACCTCCTTATCAATTAAATGAATAACTTTTTTTGGCATGCGCGAAGGCCTCTAGCGTGAGTGTCTTCCTTGATTGAGTACTCTTGGGGCAAGTATGCCTGATGCGAGTCCCATTATGGGGTGAGTGCCCCTTAGTGGATGTCCTTCTTAAATATTATAATAAAATACTTTTAATATAAATCATATGCATTATACGGACGGAGTTATCTTCTGGTATTAATTAAGGAATGAGACTATGAGAACATGTCAATAGCTCTACAAATAAAAATAAATCCGTAGATAGAATTCCAATCAAAATCACATTTTATCTAATTAAATTTTTATATCTACAATTTCTTTTATTTTTTTAATATTTTTCTTTAGAAAGAAATTATCCACACCGTATTTTACAATGCTACACCTTTGACATTTGCCTTACTTGGAGATGGCCAATTCAAAATAATAAAAATAATAATAATAATAAAATTAATATAAAAACACAATTATATATTTTCTTAAAGAAAAGATTAGTCTGTCTTACACGTAGGGGTGTAAATGAGCCGAGTCAGCTCAAATTTAACTCAAGTGTAAATGAGCCGAGCCAGTTTGAACTTCACTCGCAAGTCAAGTTTCCCAAGCTCGAGCTCAAATATTAAAAGAGCTTGAATTCTAGTTTGATGAAACTAGGCTCTTCAGCTTCAAAAAATTAATTACTCAGAATCTAAACTAGTAAATAATTTTTATGTAAAAAAAAAATCATAATATTTAATGCAGCATCAAAACATGCAAATGCAGCCATACAACCTTTCAAAAAAAAAAAACATAGCTTCAACCTCAATTTCATCTCCAGCTGATCAGCTTTTAAACCTAAGATAAAAATGGATGACTCGAGCCCAAGCGAGACGTCGACCTATTCTTTTGAGAGATGATACGAGCTCGAGTTTTCTACGACTCAAATCTCGGCTCAACTCATTTACTCCCCTACTTATAAAAACTGATGATCATTTATTATTAATTTTTTTTTTGGGAAATGATGATTGATTTAGTAGCAGATTATAGCATTTCATTATTTTATTTTATATTTAATTATATCATTTAAATTTGTCGTACTCCTATTCTTTATATTTGGTCTGTAGCAGGTCTTTGGTGGACGATTTGGACCTCTTCGTCGTTTCTTCTGAGGAACTTCTAAATTTTCTTGGAAAAATTCAAAATAAGCTACAAATATTTTAATAAGTCAGAGGCCTTCGGGCTCTATTATCCAATGGTAAAGATTATGCCGAAATGTGTCTTCTAGTGTAGCATGTCGTTTATTTTGTATGCTCATTGTAGTCGTTTAACATCAAATGAAAATATTTGATCATTCAAATCACACTCGATGAAGAAGGCATTGACATGTAAATTTTTATAGGGTTTACTTAAATTATGAATTTATTTATAATAAAATTTTCATTGAAGATTAAAATAAATAATAAATTTATGCTATTATTTTGCTTATAATATGACATTACTAAAGTAGTAAAATGATTAGACAAATAGCATGAATAATATTTTTTATTTGAGGCCAACTTGGCATATGAGGACTTTGCTATAGCTTATTATAGTGAATGGAACAGGCCACTGTAAGTTCTCGCTAGTATAATTATGGTCGACTTGAATGAAAGTTTCTCCGAGCGGTAAATTTTGAATGCACGAGAATTTTTTTTATCTTGTCAATGATAGTTTCAGGACAACATATGCAATTCAACATATTTGAACCTATATGATAATGCAAAACTAGTTATTGATAATAACCATAGTCACATATGTTGCATTTTCACTCAAATCCTATATATATTATAGTTGAAGTTAGTCAAACCTTATAGTATAAATGATATATATAAATTCTTTAAATCATCATGAGCTTGTATATCCTTCTAAGCAAGTAATTCATATCAGCTTTATGGGTTTAACTTCTTTACAAGATGATAGATTTTTATTATTCAAGCAATTTATTTTTCATGATAAGTATGATTATATGCCAATGTAAAGGTCGGGGGCTAGTGATGACTTTATTAGAGATGGATTTGTTAACATCAACAATATAGTTAAAGCTAGTACCCAATCTAAATTTACGAGCCACATTATTATATGTAACTTTACCTTAACGTGTGTGAATTTAATTAAATTATAAGAGAACTTTAAATTACAAATTTGTACATGTATATAGATAGAAGTAAGTATTTTGGAAGAAGAATATGTTGTTTTTGCTAGCAAACATTGACCTACAATATGCAATATTCACCAGGTATATTTTCCATTTATGATGCATATATTGTATTGACAAGTATGCTCAAACAAGAGTGGATTAACAATAAAATATGAACAAAATATTTATCCATCACTTCATTGTAATTAGAGTGTGTGTATTGCAAGTAGTTTGCACCTTGGCAATGAAATAAAGATCTCAATTCTTGAGCATGCACAATATGCACATCCAATAATGCTACTTTATAATCCATAATTTACATAAAAAATCATAATTAATTTTATTCTATACTTTATCCAACAACATTGGGATCTTAAACCAAAAGAGATTATCTATCATCTGAGGTGAAATTTAACGTCAGGTTTCTTACATGAAAGTTTGGTATGCTGGATAAAAGGAAAATAAAACTATTTTTAGACTTGAGAAGATTCCTATTTAACCTTGCATTAATTTATGGAGGTAGCTTCTTTGTTTGTTCAATGAACCCTTGCAAAAGTCAAGTTATTTCTTAACGAAAATTTCAAAACTTGTTCAAGTCTTTATACCTTGCATATCAGGATGGATACATTATTGAATCAAATTGCATCTCAATAGAACTTTCTTTTTAGAAAAATAAAAATCAACACTCATAATTATTGTGGTGAAAAATAATGATAATAATGATTTATTCCCACTGATGTTTGATGCTGTTGATTTTGAAACTAATTTATGAGTCATGAACATAGTTTAAGCATAGATTTCATTATGATTGAGTGTATAAGATTAAGAAGGTACGTACATATAAT